GCTCTGATGAAGGGCAGGCACTCCCCCTGAATTACACCAGCACCCGTGAGATGTGAATTAGTGCCAGAATCTTCATTCTAACCCTCGCAGGGTTCTGAACAGGGTGTCGGTCGATGCACTCTGAAGAGGGGACACCAGAGACATTTGTGTCTGGATTTTAACTTTGCGCAAAAGGGACTTTTGCCTGAACAGGAGCAGCATAGTATTTCCGCAGTAGGAAGTCAGTGCTTTTGCAGAAATTCAAGCGGCCAGTGTAGACAGCTGGCAAGTTTTTCCGGAAAAGTGGCTGATTTTCCGGAAAAACTGGCCAGTCTAGACACAGCCGGGGTGTTCAGCCTATCTAAGGATCCCATCCACAAGATAACCCTGCACAAATGCTGCTGCACCCACCCACTCACAGTAGTCAAGGGATCGAAGCTGCCCGCTCGTCCGGCGGTTGCTTTACCCATCTGTGGAGATTGCCAAGTTCAGTGATGTGAGGGTAACAGGTCCCCCAGCCCTCCTGAGCTCCTGGAAGTGCCTCTGCGGCTCACTCACTGGGCAGCAGGCATCTGGCAGGTTGGACTGGAGAGTAGAGCTCCGCTTTCTGTAATTTTAATCCCTGGCCTAGGCAGGTTTGCAGCTATCATGGCTCTAAGGCGTTCTACATTTAAAAGCGGTGCATATCAGCTGCTGTCAGATAGGGAAGCATCCTAGCAGCCCAGAGGTTGTACAGAATCTGGGGAATTCAGTATGAGAGCTGATCCCTTGCTGTAGCTTCTCTGCCCCTAACACAGCTCTGCATACGTCCATGCAGGTCTCCCATCTAAATACACACCTGCGCGGCCTCGTTGAAACCCACAGAGTCCATGCTGAAGTGCACGCTGTGGTCAGAGCACATACGGTACACAAGGACATACACAAACACACGTCCAAGATGCTGTAATGCACACACATGCAGGTGCAGAGGACACGTGCCGATTGGGTACAGTCTTTGCTATGGGAAAACACAGGATCCACCAGCTGCCAAAGGCTCCATCTGGGTTTTAAATGGGACCAGGTGACTCAAGATGTTGGGGGTGGGCCATGAGGTGATGTCACGTCCATGTCACAAGCTCAAATCTAGCCCAGGGGTCAAAAGTCTTTTCGTTGGGTGTCCCGTGTGAAATGAGTCGGTGAATCACAAATCTAGCCCAGGGGTCAAAAGTCTTTTTGTTGGGTGTCCCATGTGAAATGAGTCGGTGAATTGCAGTCCAGTCCGAATGCTTCTCCCTGGCTTTCTACAGACCTATTAACACTAGAGTGTGGAAAAGCCCGACCACTAAACTAAGGACGAATGCATCTCCGTTCCAGAGAGCAATTAGCACATACCAAACAGCCACTGGAGGGATTGTTCACCGGATGGTCCATTCGTGCAGTTGTAAATATCGGTGGGCATGAAATCATGTATGGACCTGAATATTTGAGCTTGTGTGGGCCTTTCTGTGATGTGAGGGTAACAGGGATTATTTGAATCCCTCTGTCTGTGTGATGGAGTATGACATGTGTTGCATGTGTTGCTGAATAGTGACGTGTATGTATTTCAGGACAAGTGAGATGTGTATCTGAGTAAGCATTGTCTGAATATCCCATCCTTTCCTCGATCATGAATGCAGATCCTCTACATTGGCAGAGGGTGGGACTAGATGACCCTCACGGTTCCCTCCAACCCATTATACTGTGTTTATTTTAGTCAAATTGCGCCTATTTATAATCAAAAAGTCTCCAAGTTTCCTCAGTGTTTGTGAAGCCTACACATAAACTAGACGTCCTCATGGTTTTCAAGGTTTCCATTTTTCTTTGCATTTATTTCACGCACTCTAAGCTCTGTTATTGTGTTGCCACTGCCTTGTCATTTTTTAATCGTCACGGCAACAGCTGCCCAGAGTTTAATAAGGCCAGGTTTGCAAAGCGCTTCCTAAAAAGCGCAATGCTTGGGAAACGGGGGACGTGTCTTTCACACTTCAAAGAAGCGATGCCAATTTACACCGGCCAGGGATCTGGGTTTACATCTTTAACTTGTGTCTCGGAGCTTTGCAGACCTGCAGATTGCTCGGACAGCCTCGGATGGAGGCACTATCCCAATGCTTGGGGGACGCATTAGTATCTGTGTAAATGCAGGACTCTAACATGAACCTCCAATCTGAGATACCTGCAACATTCAGGAAAACACACAACAGCTTCAAAATACCATACAAGTTTGTCCAAATCCTGCCTCTTGACTTTCACTCTGGTCTAATGTATCTGAGCAAAGAAATTAAACTCCTGGGGCTCTAGGTTTGTGATGAAAAT